GCGGCAGCACGCTGGAGGCGGCCATGGCAAAGCAGTAAGACTTGGTGGAGTGCCCCTTTTGTGATGAAGTTACCACATACGAGAAGCTTGCCAAGATCTGCCAAGGCACCTTCGGGGAGGTGCCTTTTTTCTTGGCTCCCCCCAAAAATATAAACCAACAGAAACTCGTTATGCACTCATCAAAATGCACCAATGGGTACTCTGAACTCATTAACAGTGACATCTGCATCAGGTGGCAACAGGGACAAAATCTTTCATCTCCTTTTCCAGTAGAGACTAGTTTGTGAAATGGTGAGGGCACTTTATCTGCTTGCTGTGACCAGTGTATGTACTCATAAACCTTAACAAGACTACAAGGATATTCCAGAAGGAAATCATTTTAGTTACAAACTAAATAACAAATATCAGAACTTCAAATGCGATGGTCTTGACTATTAGACCAGACTTAGTAGCTCCATATCTAAGATTTTTCTACCTGCCCCTCCCTCTTCAGTAGAGGGATGGCTGGCTGCTCAACACACTCCCTTTTTCCTTTAAGCTGTGTACAATGATAATTGTCTTTACTGTATTTTCATTCTCTGGTAATACAATATAAGCATAATGGTGCCCTCTATTAATATATCATTCCAGTCTTGCTGATAATTTTGTGTAGTGTCTGAATTGCTGTGCTGCAAAGGCAAACAGCTGCAAAATATTGAAAAATCATCAAAATGCATAAAAATTGCAGTATCTTTAAAATAAAAATAAAAAAATGGTCTCGTTCTATTGCCAGGCAGGAGTGTAGTGGCATGATCTAGGTCACTGCAGCCTCAAACTCCTGGGCTCAAGCAATCCTTCCACCTCAGCTTCCCTAGTAACTGGGACTACAGGTGCATGCCACAACACATGGCTAATTTTTAAAATTTTTGTAAAGATGGGGTCTTGCTGTGTTGTCCAGGCTGGTCTCAAACTCCTGGCCTCAAGAGATCCTCTTGCCTCAGCCTCCCAAATTTCTGGGATTACAGTTATGAGCCACCACACCTGGCCTCCCTGACGGATTTGTTTTTATTTATTTATTTTTAATGTTTAAGCTTGGTTTCCCAAGGTTCACAGCTGGGCCCTGCCTCTGAGGTTCAAGCGATTCTCCTGCCTCAGCTTCCCAAGTAGCTGAGATTACAGGCACCCACCACTATGTCCAGCTAAGTTTTTGTATTTTTAGTAGAGACAGGGTTTCACCATGTTGGCCAGGCCAGTCTTGAAACTCCTGACCTCATGATTCAACCATGTCGGCCTCCCAAAGTGCTAGGATTACAGGCCTGAGCCACCCCGTGGAGGAGGTCCTCTTCCATTATGCTCATGCATCATTCTGCCACCCACAATTCCACGTGGACCACCAGGACCTTGATCATTGCGCCTAATAACCCTGCCAATCATCACTACCACCTCTGGTTTCTTGCTCTCTTGTAGCTCTTGTTTTTTTCTTTTTCACATTTAAATTACTTCCCCTCAAAACATAATCAGTTTCACAATTAAGATTCTCTGAACTGGTTCAGAGTCATCAAAAACCACAAAACCAAAATTTGGAAGCTTTTCCCCAACACCCTTGGTATTGATATGAAGTTCCACAACGTTCCCAAAACTCATGAAGAATTATTCCAGTTCATTTTCATCAATATCATGTAGCAAGTTACCAAGAAAAAGTTGATGACTATCTGGATAGTGAATTATTCTACGGTTGTCATAGTCACTCAGTTCCGTATCTCCTCTGCCTGGTCTCGGTCCTCTAGCGGGGAAAGCAGGTCGTTGTCTAGGTCACTCTTCACATACAGGAGGTGGCTGGGATTGAACTTCTGTTTTAGCTTCAACTCTTGGCTTTGGTGGTTCTTGTGGCAGAGAAACAGTTTCTGCCAGAGGAGGAGGAGTAGACTTCTCTAATTCTTCTAAATTCTTCTCCTCCACTTGTGGTTTCAGCTCTTCAGTCTTTGTTTCAGATTCTGGCACAGGTTCAGGTTCATGAGAGGATTCTTCCAAAGGCTCCTCTATGCCATTAGTCACAGGGTGAGCTTCATTGTAACCACTGTTTGCATTTTCTTGCACAGGTTCAGGAGATGGTTGTCTTTCTTCTTGTTCCTCTTCTACTTCATCTTCTTCATCAAGTTCAGGCTCAGAATCACTGAACACTTCCTCTTCATAACGAAACATATCATTTGTGAACATGAAATTTATTTGGAACAGATCCTTCAGGAGCCAGAACAAAGGTTTGCATAAACTTCCTTTCCAGTTTTCCACTGTTAGCAAACCCATAACCTGGACAACTACTCCATCACTCAAGGTTGCATAAGTATCCACATGATGAATTTTAGTATGACATTCACTGAAGTTCAGAGATTATACTTAGTGGTGTACATCATTTTGGCCATAAACAACTTCCTGGGGGTTTCCAAAAGCATCTACTCTACCATGAACATAGGAAGAATTCCTGCCACAAAACCTGTGTAAATATTCTGGAGCTTTATTCAGCAAAGTATAATATTGCCTCACAAACTCCCACCCTACAAGCAGCAGACTGGGATTCTCCACAACCATTTCTTTGCTGCACAATGTCAAATGCTGGTGTTTAGATCTAGGAATTCCTTTCAGCAGGTTTGAAGAGTAAGAACTGAGAAATGCGCCCTCCAGTGGCAGTAGAATGAGAGGTGTCTAGTACCCTTTTCACCACCAAAGCCCTGTCACATCAGCAGAAGAAAAATTTCTTTCAACTCAAAAAAATAAGACCTCAGATTTGATAGCTTGCAGTAAGTCCTGCTTGGCGACAATTAAACACCCTGCAAGTCGAAACACCAACCATGCCTCTTTGAAAAAGAAAATCTAGCAGGGAATTCAATGGCCATACACTGCAGGAAATGTAAAATTTGTCCAGGAAAATCACTAAATAATTAGCAACTAGAAAAACAACAACAATCCTTGTAGGGTAGAAGAATCTGATACTAAAGTTGTTTAATATATTATTTAAAGTGTCCAGTTTGCACCACAAAATTAAGAGACATGCAAAGAAACAAAAGTATGATATAAATGCAGGAAAAAAGGGGAGCCAACAAAAACATCCTCGAGGGGGCCTATATTTTGGGCTTAGTAGAAAAAGCATTTATATCAGCTATTATAAATACAGTTGAACCTTGAACAAAACAGGTTTGAACTGTACAGGTCCACTTATATGTGGATTGTTTTCAACCAAATATGGATCAAAAATATAGTATTCTGGGATGTGAAACCTGCATATATGGAGGGTTGACATTTTGAATACATGTGCATTCCTCAGGGCCACCTGCGGAACTTAACTGTGTGAATTTTGGCATATGCAGGAGTCCTGGAACCTAACCCCACATATACCAAGGGACAAACTGTATATTCGAACTTAAGGAAATTATGCCTAAAAAAATTTCAGGAAAATGTGACAACAATATCTCACCAAATAGAGACTAGAGATGGAAGTTGTTATTAAAAAACAAATTTTGGAGTTTAAAAGTATAATACCTGAAGTGAAAAATTAAATAGAGGGGCCCCATCAAGATATTTAATGGGAAAAAGGAATAATCAGCCAACAAGAAAACAGGTTTATGAAGAAATCCACTCTGAAGAACAGAAAGAAAAATGAATTAAAAAAAAAAAATGAAAGAGGCTGGATGTGGTAGCTATGCCTGTAATCCCAGCACTATGGGAGGCCAAGATGGGTGGATCACGAGGTCAAGAGATCGAGACCATCCTGGTCAACATGGTGAAACCCCGTCTCTACTAAAAATACAAAAAATTAGCTGGGCAAGGTGGTACATGCCTGTAATCCCAGCTACTCAGGAGGCTGAGGCAGGAGAATTGCCTGAACCCAGGAGGCGGAGGTTGCAGTGAGCCGAGATTGTGCCATTGCACTCCAGCCTGGGTAACAAGAGCGAAACTCCGTCTCAAAAAAAAAAAAAAGAAACCATACAGGCCAAAAGACAATGGGATGACACTGTCAAAGTGTTGAAAGAGTAAGACTATCAAAGAAGAATTCACCTAAATCTTTAAAAAATGAAGGCGACCCAGCCGGGTGTGGTGGCTCACACCTGTAATCCCAACACTTTCGGAGGCTGAAGCAGGCGGATCACTTGAGGTCAGGAATTCGAGACCAGCCTGGCCAACATGGTGGCACCCCATTTCTACTAGAAACATAAAACCAGGAATAGTGGCGGGCGCCTGTAATCCCAGTTACTTGGGAGGCTGAGGCAGGAGAATCACTTGAATCCGGGAGGCGGAGGTTGTAGTGAGCCAAGATAGTGCCAGTGCACTCCAGCCTTAAGACTCCATCTCCAAAAAGAAACAAAACAAAAAAAAATGTGAAGGAGATCCACACACAACACTGTGCTATAAACTCCTTGAGGAAGCTTAGATATCATGCTCTTCAAGTAGTTGGGGATTGTTATGCTTTAAGAAAATGAGTAACAGTTTTCTGTAGGTGAATTTTAATCTATAGAAAAAGAAGTGTGTCTTGTGAAAAGTATGTAATAGAGTTAAGAGCATCAAAATGTGCACTGTCTTTTGAGAGCCAACTGTCCAGTTGTGAGAGTTCAAAGGTGGACAAAAGCTAGTCTATATGCCAGGAGAGAAGTGAATAGGTCAAATACAACTGAGATTTGGAAATAACCAGTTATAACAGTAAGGTAGCCATGCCTCTAGATTTATTCTTTTGTTTACCTATTCTTTATTTCAGAAACCTAATGTTAAGTATCAAAAGGGAAATATTTGTTGTGAAAAAGATGTGAAAAATGGAAGATGGTTAATTCTTGGGAACATGCAAAATGAACTTTATGCTTTCAGTGTTCATTTTATTAACTAGTTCTTCTTGATGACTAGAACACAAAGAATACTAAAAAATCTGAATTTCCACTGAACCAAGCATTTTTCGAACAAGACCTTTCCTGAATATGCCACTGTTTTGACTTCTACTTTTGTTAAGGTTGAAATGGGCTAGGCGCCATGGCTCATACCTGTAATCCCAGCACTTCGGGAGGCCGAGGCAGGCACATGACTTGAGCTCAGAAGCTGAAGACCAGCCTGGGCAACACAAGGAGACCCCATCTCTATTAAAAAAAAGAAAAACAAATTAGCTGGGGCATAGTAGTGTGTGCTGTATTCTCAGCTACTTGGGAGGCTGAGGTGGGAAGACCACTTGAGTCCAAGAGGTCAAGGCTGCAGTGAGCTGTGATGGCACCACTGCACTTCAGCCTGAGCGACAGAGTGAGACCCTGTCTCAAAAACAAAACAAAAAAGACTGGAATGAAATCTTTATTATTTTATATTATTTCCCCAAATCGTAGAAAGTCTAAGTCCAAACTGTTTTGATTTCTTTTACAAGAATGATTTTGCCTTTTCACATCTTTAGGTGTCTGATTGCATAAAATAAAACTTTATTAACAGACTTATTAGGCAAAATATATTTTTTTCAATTTTGTACTTTTCAGTATTGTTTCTATCAACTTTATGGCAGAAAAGGAAGCATCTATTTTCACAAAGAGAAGAGTTTTAAATACTAGCCATTTTAGAGTTCCTATTATAATAGGATTCTACTTGTTGCACATAATTAGATAAATTTAACCTGGGCCAGAATAGGAGGTATCAAGAATACCAGATGTTTCTGTGAGCTGGAAGCTGTCACAGCAGTGACTCACTTGAACTGGAAATCACCAATTTTCTTCTTATTTTCTAGTCACCAAACAAAACACAGGCATGCTTTTTCATATTTTATGGTTTTTAAGTTGAATTATATCAGGCTCTTCAACAGCCTTTGATCCAATTTAAGCTAGTTCTCTATGTCCTTGTTTTTTAAAAACAAATTCCATAAATGGGAAAAAAATTAAAAATAGAAACACTGCTAATAAAAAAACTGGAAATTCATTGCTAGCTGACCTAACTTACAAGAAATATTAAAGTGTGTCCTTCAGGATGAAATAAAAGAATGCTAGATATTAACTCAAATCCACATAAAGAAATAAAGCACACTGCTGAAGAGAACTACAAAGGTAAGTATAATATTCAATATAAATGTACTTTATATTTACAACTTTTTACTTCTCCTGATTTCAAAGTCAACTACATAAAGCAATAACGGTAAACTTGTGTCAATGAGCTTATAACATGTAAAGATGTAATGTGTATAACAATAATAGTACAAAGAAGTTGTGAGGGAATGTATGTGTGTGTGTGTGTGTGTGTGTGTGTGTGTGTGTATCACACATATACAGAGAAATATTTTGTGTACCACTGAAGCTAAGTTAGTATTAAACTGAACTAGAGTCCAAGCAAGGTGGCTCATGCCTATAATCCCAGCATTTTGGGAGGCTGAGGCGGGCGGATCACCTGAGGCCTGGAGTTCAAGACCAGCCTGGCAAACATGGTGAAACCCCATCTCTACTAAAAATTCAAAAAAAAATCCCAGCTACTCAGGAGGCTGAGGCAGGAGAATCACTTGAACCCAGAAGCAGAGGTTGCAGTGAGCCGAGATTGTGCCACTGAACTCGAGCTTGGGCAACAGAGCAAGACCCCATCTCGAAAAAAAAAAAAAAAACATGGCCAGGTACAGTGGTTCATTCCTGTAATCCCAGAACCTTGGGAGGCTGAGGCAGGAGGATCACCTGAGGTCAGGTGTTCGAAACCAGCCTGGTTAACATGGTGAAACCTTGTCTCTACTAAAAATACAAAAATTAGCTGCACATGGTGGCGGGTGCCTGTAATCCCAGCTACTCGGGAGGCTGAGGCAGGAGAATCGCTTGAACCTGGGAGGCGGAGGTTGCAGTGAGCCAAGGTCACACCATTGCACTCCAGCCTGGGTGATAAGAGCAAAACTCCATCTGAAAAACAAGCAAACAAACACCCAAAAACAAAAAACAAAACCTAGAAAAACACTGAACTAGATTGCTTTTAAATTAAGAAGCTCATTGTACATACCACAAGAAAAGAACTAAAAAATATAATATAAGAAAAGAATAATATAGGGCCAGGTACTTCACTCACACCTGTAATCCAGCAATTTGGGAGGCTGAGTAGGAGGATCGCTTAAGCCCAGGAATTCGAGGCCAGCCTGGACAATACAGTGAAAGCCTGTATTGAAAAAAAATTTTTTTTAATTAGCTGGGCATGGTAGCATGTGCCTATGGTCCCGGCTACTCAGGAGGCTGATGTGGGAGGTTGAGGTTGTAGTGAGCTGTGTGATCGCACCACTGCACTCCAGCCTGGGTGTCAGGGTGAGACCCTGTCTCAAAAAGAAGAAAAATGAAAAGTATAATATAATCGGCCGGGCCTATTATATTATAGGCAGTGGCTCATGCCTGTAATCCCAGCACTCTGGGAGGCTGAGATGGGTGGATCACCTGAAGTCAGGAGTTTGAAACCAACCTGGCCAATGTGGCAAAACCCCATCTCTACTAAAAATACAAAAATTATCCAGTTATGGTGGCATGCACCTGTAGTCCCAGCTGCTCGGGAGGCTGAGGCAGAAGAATCGCTTGAACCTGGGATATGGAGGCTGCAGTGAGCCAAGATCACACCACTGCACTCTAGCCTAGGCGACAGCGAGACTCCATCTAAAAAAAAAAGTATAGTATAATAATACATATAAAGAAACAATGGAATTTAAATGTTACATTGGAAAACATCTAACATAAAAGAACGCAGGAATACTGAGAGTCAGAGGATGAGGAAAAAAAGAAAAAATTGAAAATATATAGAAAACAAAGAACAAAATGACAGGCATAAGTCCTACCTTACATTAAATGGAAATGGTTTAAATGACAGAGATTGACAGAATAAAAAACATGATCTAACTATACATGATGATAACAATAAACACAATTCTGATTTAAAGACACAAATATATTCCAAATAAAATAATATAAAAAGATATGGCATGCAAGCAGTAACCAAAAGAAAGCTGGATTGTTATACTAGTATCAGAAATAATCTCTCCTCTAGCCATCCAAAATGCCAAAAGGAATGAAGGCTAAGTGGAAGAAGATAGCCCCCTCTCCTGCTATTGTGAAGAAGCAGGAGGCCAAGAAGGTGATGATTCCCGTTTGAGAAAAGGCCTAAGAATTTTAGCACTGGACAGGACATCCAGCCCTAAAGGGACCTTACCCACTTTGTCAAACGGCCCTGCTATATCAAGTTGCAGCGGCAAGAAGCTATCTATCTTCTATAAGTGGCTGAAAGTGCCTCCTGCAAATAACCCAGGCCTTGGACTGCCAAATAGCTACACAACTGCTTAAGCTGGTCTGTAAGTACAGACCAGAGACAAAGGAAGAGAAGAAGAAGAGATCATTGGCCCAGACTGAGAAGAAAGTTGCCAGAAGGATGTCTCCATTAAGAGGCCTTCGAGCAGGGGTTAACACTGTTACCACCTTGGTGGAGAAGAAGAAAGCTCAGCTGGTGATGACTGCACATGACATGGATCTCATAGAGCTAGCTGTCTTCCTGCCTGCCCTGCATCATAAAATACAAAGGGAAGAGAAGACTGGGATGCCTAGCTCACAGGAAGACCACTGTCACCTCCATACAGGTTAACTCGGCAGACAAAGGAGCTTTGGCTAAGCTGGTGGAAGCTATCAAAACCAATGACAATGACAGACAGGATGAGATCCACTGTCACTTGGGAGGCAATATCCTGGGTCCAAAATCTCTGGTTCACATTGCCAAGCTGGAAAAGGCAAAGGCTTAAGAATTTGCCATTAAGCTAGGTTAAATGTAGACTGTTGAGTTTTCTGGAGAAATAATAATAATTCTCCTTCAGCCAAAGAAAAAGAAATATAAATTAATATCAAGAAGACATGACAATTATAAACACATGTGCAACTAACAACTGAGTTCCAAAATACACAAAGCAAAATTGACAGAATTGAAGGGAGAAATTCAACAATGGTCAGAGACTTCTATAATCCACTTTTAATAAGTGATAGAACTAGGCAGATGATCAACAGAGAAACAGAAAACTTGAACAGCCCTGTAAACCGATGAGGCCTAACAGACATATGTGGAACATTCCACCCAACAGCAGCAGAATACACACTTTTCTTAAGCATACATGAGTTCAAGACGAGCCTGGGCAACATAGGGAGACCTTGTTTCTAAAACAAATGAAAAAAAATAGTAAGTGGCATGTGCCTATAGTCCCAGCTACTTGGGAGTCGGAGGCAGAAGGATCACTTGAGTGAGACCAGGGTTCGAGGCTGCAGTCAACCATGATCACACCACTACACTCAACCCTGCACAACAGAGTGAGACCTTATCTCAAAATAATAATAATAATAAAGTGTAAGACTTGTACACTAAAAACTAAAAATGATTGTTAAAAGAGATTTAAAGATAACCTGGCTGGGCGTAGTGGCTCATGCCTGTAATTCCAGCACTCTGGGAGGATGAGGCGGGTGGATCATATGAGGCCAGTAGTTCAAGACCAGCCTGGCCAACATGGCAAAACTCTGTCTCTACTAAGAATATAAAATAGCCAGGCAGGGTGGTACATGTCTGTAATCCCAGTTACTCAGGATACTAATGTTATGGAACATCTTTTCATGTATTTATCAGTCATTCATATATCTTCTTTAGAAAAAATGCCTATTTGAGGCCGGGCATGATGGCTCATGCCTATAATCCCAGCACTTTGGGAGGCCGAGGCGGGTGGATCACGAGGTCAAGAGATCGAGACCATCCTGGTCAACATGGTGAAACCACGTCTCTACTAAAAATACAAAAATTAGCTGGGAATGGTGGTGCGTGCCTGTAGTCCCAGCTACTCAGGAGGCTGAGGCAGGAGAATTGCTTGAACCCAGGAGGCGGAGGTTGCGGTGAGCCAAGATTGCGCCATTGCACTCCAGTCTGGGTAACAAGAGTGAAACTCCGTCTCAAAAAAAAAGAAAAGAAAAATGCCTATTTGAATCTTTTGCCCATTTTTAAATTGGATTTTTAAATCTTTTATTGTTGAGTTGTTGAACCATCATGCCCTGCTGGTAGGACTGTAAACGGTACAGATACTTTGGAAAAAAAGTCCAGTAATTCCTCAAAAGATTAAACATAGAGTTCCCATGTCATC